AGGCACCGGTTGGGGTCAAGAGCGGAGTTGACATTGGAGGTATCATAACAGATGGGGAGCCAGGTGCAAATGGGCTCATGGGACCCATGTCTAGTGAAGAACTAGTAGCCAAGTAAGATCTCGGGGAAGGCACTGCTGAACCTGTTGAAGCATACAAGGGACGAAGCTCCTCAGGCTTGTGAGCAAAGAAACAAACCCTCCTCGTGCAATTAGTCTCATCCTTGCATAATCGAGTTCGGTACTGAGCAGGATGAAGCCAGCACTCGAAAATACCATGAGCGTACTCGCAGTTATCACCTTGCCTACAGGATCCCTTACGAAATTCAGGGCAAGGGACACAACTATAGTGATATTTCCTAGGATCACGCCTCCTTGCATTCTCCCCAGGATGAACAAAGGGGCACTCAGTCCAATCATGAGAATAGGCCCTCGAACAAGGCTTGACCTTGAAGGTATACATCCTAAACTCATCAGTACCATAAATTCCATTCTTAATGTCCGGAAGAGTAAGATCAACGGGATACTCTTTCCTCTCAGTCCCATCTTTCGAAACTCGGGGCGTCGCGTACTCCTGCTCCTCCATCCCTCCCATTTCATTTCCTAACTGAGCAGGCAAGCTGTCCATCTCACTACCACTGCCACTTACTTTCAACAAAGACTCCAGCACCTTCTTCCTCAAGCCAAAAGCCGAGCTACGAACCGGAGCAATCAAATCACTAGGCCGTTTTCCATTAGCATCAAGAGAATCGGCATCAGCAGAAGCATGAAGCAAGGTTTTGACAACCTCAGCGGAATCAAAGGAGCCACCAGCAGCAGCACAGTGGAGAGCCATGGCCCCATCCGAACCACAAGCCCTGTTAACATCAACACGACCACTTTCAACAATATAATTCACCACATCCTTGCTCCCAAACAAGGAAGCAATCAAAAGAGGTGTCCTTTCTTCAAACCCCATCTTCTTCGAACCCAATCGCCTTCCGTACCACAAGCTTGGCTCATCGATATCATGACCCTCCTCTTCAACAGCAGTTTTAAAGGCAATCAAATCATTTGAAGCCGAAAATCCCAACAAAACCGAGAACTTTTGAGAAACCCCATCTTCTTTACCAGACTCGCCCTCCATGATTAAACCACTTTGAGTTGCCTTCCTCTTTGGACCACTGCACATCGAAATTTATCTTCTCTGCAAAAGAGAGAGAGAAAGAGGCTTAAATTAAATCCCACAGTTTATTAAATCAAACCCAAGGCATCATATTTTTCCCCGTAAAAGCATTCAAATTTTGTAGATAAGGATCTGATCATTAAAAACCACAACCATTAACAACATACCAAATAAACTCACCCGAGAATTAAAAGAAATCAAGACATAAAGTTAAAACCCAAAAAAAAAAACCAAGAAACGCAGTTACAAAAACCTGATAAAAAATAAACCGCACATGCAGAAACACTCCACTCCAATCTCCAAACATGGTACTATCATACAAAAATAACTACCCCAACAAAAAAAACACTTCAAAGTTTCATTCTTTTTCACATCTTTCCCACAAAGAAAACAGAACATGAACAAAACAGAAACACAGGAGAAAACAGAGAGACAGAGAGAGAAAACACACCTTCGAAACACAAAATTTTGAGGACAATAACAGAAACCCAGAATGTCCCTTTGAGGTTTCAGGAAGGGAAAAACAACCTTTGTGTGTTTTAAACTTGAAAGTTCAAACCCGAGCGTAAAAGAGAGAGAGAAAGCGAGAAATGGAAGAAGCAGAAGAAAAGACAATTATTTTTTTAATCTCAACCTTAAACCACATACATAAATTCAAAAAATAATTTAAAATCACATATAATAAGCTTTAACAACCTTATGGAATTAAAAAATTTAAATTTCGGATTTTTTTTATTTTCTAAATAGATTAAAATATTTTATTCTTATAATGAAAATAGTCAAAAAGAATGAATCCCTTTTTTCCCACTAAAAATTTGAGACCCGTCAAATGCACATGAAATTGGAAATTAAACTCAAATTTTCCTTTTTATTATACTTGGTGGGAAATGTTTAAGTGGGGAGGGGTCCACGGAGGGAGCGCTTAATATCTACCTGCTTTCAAATGATAAACCGACACGTGTGTGTATTACCTGTCTGTGAAGGACGTGGGCTGTGAGGATATTGTTTTAAGGAGGCGAAATTCGTTGACGCCGTCGACGAATCGCAGCGTTTCGATACATTCTAGAAGGAGCGTTTGTCTGTCCTTTTTTATATCCTTTTCGTCAATTCAATTTAATACTAAATATATATACTCCATAAAAATAAATCAAATTTTGGCAATTTTTATGACAGGGTGAAATCCAGCATTAACTTGCATACTATACATTAGTATAATAATTGAGGAGCGATTAAGTTTTTTAAATTGTAATTTAATTTGATTTGATTTATATATAATTTTAAAATACTATAACTCAACAAAAGTACTTAAAAAGAATATATGCATATACAAATTTATTATAATGGAAATGAAAATTATGTGATGACTGAAGTCAATTTCTCTCTTAAATTTCAAATAATAATATTTTTTATTAATTTGGGATAAGTATAAAAGATAAATTTTATTCATTTGACATTAAACGTTCACACACTTGAATTTTTTGTGTTCGAACCCGATATCTGAAATAATAACAATAATTTATTAATACCAAATAATAATAAGGGTAAATTATACCAGAGACTACCCAATTATAGTCCCTTTTCATTTCGACCTCCATTTTTAAATTATTGTCAATCAGACTACCCAACCGTTAACAGTTAATAGAAATGTTGACATAGCAGTTAATAAAATTAATATAATTTACATTTAGTCCTTATTACTTACAAAATTTATCAAATTTATCATAATTTCAAATTAATTCAATATATTTAATCTTATAATAATATGAATACATGTGTCACAATATTATTAGAGGTTTTTTATTTAATTTAAATATTTTCTTCTTTCAATTAGGTGGTGACATGTGACACCACATAAGAAAGGAAAATAAATTGAATAGAAAGGCTCTGGTGGGGAGTTGGACTTGGGTGTCCAAAGAGGCAAAGTAACAGATAGACCCGCTGCACCAAGACCAGCTTTGGTGTTTTGATTACAGCACTCAATATTTACTTTATAATAATGAAGGGAAAAAAATGAAAACAAAAATAATATATTTATACTGATCATATTCAAATATATATATATATATATATAAAGGTAAACTAATAATTTATAGTGCGTTGGGTCCAGGATTTCTTATTTTAAACCTGATCCCCGACTTGATATTAATATATTAATATTTTTAAATAGTTAAAATAATATATTTATAATTATTTATTATAATTTAAATAATAAAAAATATATTTTTACCTTAAACCCAAACTAATTCAAATATATATAAGGGTAAATTAATATTTTATACCAAGTTGGATTAGGTGGATAATTTTTTATCTGATCAAATTGGGTTTAAGGCAAAAATATTTTTTTATACTTTTAAATTATAAAAAATAATTATAAATATAATATTTTAACTATTTTAAAATATTAATATATTCGTATCTGGTCGGGGTAGGGTTGGATTTAATGTAAGAAATCCTTGACCCAACCCAGTAAATATTAATATATAGCATATGCAGTGTATTTGAACTTAAAAGGTTTGCTTGGTTCAATGGTTAAACACTTGTTCAAGCTCCAAAGGAACCCAGGTTTGATCCCCTGCTCCCATATATATATATATATATAATATATAAGTAACAGTGACCAAGTGTGTAATTATATGAATTTTTTATCGGTTAGTGGTCAGATTGAATGCATTTAAATAGTTGGATGGTCTGATTAACAAGAATTCAAAAATGGTAGTCGAAATGAAAAGGAACTATAGTTGGATGATCTCTTATATAGTTAACCCTAAAAATAGTTGAAGTGTCTGTTTAGAGATGATATGAATGAATCGAAGGGCAGTGATTTGTTTTAAAGAGGAGTTTGACTAGTAAAAATGAAATGAATACTTAGAGAAAAGTCCTTGGACTGCTGCAATAAAGGACCCCACCTCTACAGTTTACATATAGGAATGGGACCCAATTGAAAAAAGATTAGTAAATTGATGCTACTTTCCATGAATGAACAGCACAAACCTGCATTTTTAATCTTGTTTTTTAGTCTCAAGTAAATGCAAGATTTTAAATTAAGCAGTTAACATATTAGAATTTAGATTCATAACAAGGTTGCACAATTGAAAGAGAATAACTTTCATTGCAATTTGTAAGATTGATTGAATTTGTGATGTAAACAATTACCAGCAGCAAATTAAGCCAAAGCAATCAAAAAGTCAAGAGTTGTCCTACAGAAATTGCAGGAGGGGAGCTTTCTTGATCCACAATGTGAGCTTTAAATGGAGTGGACCACCTGCCTTTATTTATTTTTCCCTTAAAAATCACTATGCATTGTGGAAAAATCTTGATGTTGATATTGTAATTTTAATCTTAAACTTTTAAAAGATTATTAAATTAAACAGCAAATAGAACTTCTATGTTGCTTCGAGGCATCATCACTTCCAAATTTAGGCTCCAGAAATCCAAAAAATCTTATTTAGAAAAGATAGCATTGGTTTAGATATATTAGCTTTCGGATGAGCATTTTTTGTTCACAAAAGGTACGTAAACGAGTCGGTTTAAAACAGGAGAAACATGAAGAACCGACTTTAAATTTGTTCATTGCCGATTTAAAACATTAGGCAGTGACCCACAAAACTTGGTAGCTTTAAATAAGAAACATAGCCCACAGGGAAAGAAGCTCTAGCAATCTATGAACAAAACAACAGCAATAAACAAGTAGGAAGGTCGAGTTGGGACTCATGGTTTTAGGGAAAAAAGGGGTTAGGCAGCGTAGTAGTGCTAGAGGTCCAGTCTCATTGTGTATTTTGAAGACAGTCATTGGACAAGGAGAGCGTTATACACTTTGGTAAATACAACACAAAAAATAACATTACCCCAAAAGAATGCAGGCTTTTAGATAACTTGGAAGCTACATTATGCATTTAATTACATGGTCAAAAAACAAAAAGAAGAATAGAGCATTAGTTGAGATTAATTTTTGCAGGAAGACGTATTCCAGGAGCTTGTTCCTTCACAACATCACCTTTATATGCAACCAATTTCAAAACAGATTGAGGAGTGAGATTGTATTTTTGCCCAGCCTCCGCTAAGCTTCTTCCGAGAACTTCCGCAACCCAATCTTCGATCGCCTCCTTTTTGTCAGAAAGCCAGGCAGCAGCAAGCATTTGTACCATTACTTCTTCATCAATCTCCAATGCAACCTCTGTTCCCACCGTCCTTTGACATTGTGAGCTGATTTCCTTCACAATTTTATCAGCAACTTCATCGAAATCGAATGGCTTGAAATGTATCTTTTTATATACTTGGCTAAATAATTCTTCCCACCAATTTTCTGAGCTTTCAGACGACTCACTTTTCGACAACCCCAGACCCATGTCCTCCTCATCTGCCTCCTCCACAGGAAAATTTAAGTCCAGACAAGACCTAGGCACTTTGTGCTCTCGTTCTCCTGTGTCTGTTTTTTCTAGCTCGGATGACTCAACAGCATTCCTCGTCTTTCTTTTATTAGCAGATGTAAAAGTGGAAGCTTCTTTAACTGTTGTAACCCTGACGCCCATGTAGTTGCTTTTGCCTGCATCATCAGATGCAGAGCCAACCAGGATCTGCATTTGCCAGTTTTTGGCTCCAAGTATTCTTCTCTCGGGGAATTTCACGTCTTTGTTCCCACAGATAACATTTACATTACCTTTTGTGATGGAGGATGATGTTGTTATAAGAACCATATTGTTGATGCTTATTTCTCGTCCATGCGAATCTGGAAATTTACCCGTTCTAATAGCCAGGTCCAAACTATGTTGGACACCATAATCGGCCTTATCAACATTTTCAAGGAAGACAACAGAATGAGGTTTCTTTCTTAGCTCCTCGGCAATCAAGTCGGACACTGTTTTCCCTCTAGACATCTCATCATGCCTGTTCAACTCTTTGCATTCAAAGATCGAGTTTGGGTGGCCAAGTTTGCCTTGTGAGCTCAAATCCAAGGAAACTAAGCATTCCTGGCTGCCAAATAGTACATCAGCAAGTGCTGAAGCAATTCTTTTTTTCCCAACTCTGTCCGGACCGAGGAAAGTAAGCCAATTATCCCCTTTACAGTTAATACCACGAAAGCTTCGATACTTGTGCCTTACTTGGGATACAGCTTGGCTGACAGAATTAACAGCTTCATCCTGCCAGCCAACTTTCTCAGCAAGAGCTTTCTTAATGGACTTGTAATCTCCTAGATCAAACTGCTCTCCTGATGAAGGAACAGAGCATGATGAAGATTGCGCAAACTGATATGAAGTGACCTCACTATTTGCATCAAATTCAGTAGACACGGAGCCTGAGAAGCGCTGAAGATGTTCTCGATGATTTAGCGATTTTGTAGTTTTCGATTCCTGAGTGGTTGATGCATATATCGTTCCCAACTTTAAATCTGTAGTGACTGGAGGAACAAATGAAGATGGTGTGCGTCCAGAACAAGAGCTCAGACTTTGTTGAGGGTGATGGAACCAGGGCACATCTTTATCAGTTTGCTGAGTTACGCTTGGAACATCCACATGTAACACGGAGTGGAAATTCATATTCCTACCTTCAGAAGTACACGATATCGATGGAGTACTTTTTGGTAGAAAATTTGTTTGCATGTGAATTTGCCTGCCAGGACTCTGATTGGGAAATAGACTTTCATTAATAGACAGATCTCCATTGCTTGTTTGCTTCTGGTCCATGGAAAACTGAGGACCCTTAACAATTGGAACTTGAGACATGGAGGGATTAATATCTGACTTGGTGAATGTCGGAGTGCAGTGTACACGTTGGCAAATATCATTCCACTTTTTCTGCAACCCAAAAACTTTAGCACTTAACATGGATTCACCAGCTTTAGTCTGCACTGAACGACGAATCACGTTCTTAAAAAAACAATAATTTTATTAATGAAATACAACATATGGCCAATGCTTAGAATGGATAAAAGTCGAGCACAAAACTGAAGATTTCGAAACCTAAAGTGCCAACTCACCTTTGCCACATCCTCTCCCTTGCCTGTGTCAACAGCTGCCATTCGTAACCAAGAAGGCAAGTTTTCTGAATACTGATCAGCAACCGAAACTGCAGATCCTGCCTTCTTCAAGGCATCAACTTCTTGTTCGTACTTCTCATTGCAAAGGTTACATCGAGGAATAGATTGATTCCAGCCACTTAAAGGGCTTTTCAAATCTGATGGTGTAGGGAATAAGCCACCAAATGGAACAAACGACCTCATCAAGCTGTAAGAATATCATGACTGTGAGATCAAATGAGTGGAAACTGCTAGAACCTAAAGCGCATATGTTTTTTTCCATTTTGGATACATGAGAGTATCATTCATCCAAGAAGAAGCAAGACTTAAAAACTATGTCCAGTTCTTTGCTCCAAAACCTAGATACATGACTTAAATACAATATTAAGATATTATAAACTGACATCTGCAACTCCACCTGATACCCTGAATCTGATATGGGATCAAATATTTATTTTTTATAGCCTTTATCTTAAAAAGTGCTACATTTTATTAGTACTGTAAAAGACAACAAAACCATGAGACATGAAACCTTTTTTTAAACTAGTAGTAGTACTACATCACAAATATTTATTGAATGCATGTACTGGCAAGAACCACAGGATTATCAAGTAGATAAAAGCAGCTAACAGTAGAACCTTTTTAATAACCAAAACATTGTTTCAAATCCAAATAAAAGACATGGAAGGAAAGCAGAATGCCCACCTGGATTTGGGGTAAGCTCCATCAAAAGAACTCTTGGAAGAAGTAATAGGCAACAATTGCAAATCCCAATCTTTTTCTACATTGGGAAACTTATCACAAAACTTCCTATATATTTCAACACTATCTACAGCTCCCATCAACCATAATCTCCTTCTATAAACTTCCATTAAACTTGCTAATCTCAGAACCAAGGGACTAACAAAATCACCTAACGCCCCATCAAAAATCAACCCTTTTAAATCCCCAAAATGTAAAACCACTCCCCCTCCTCCGGATCCATTACACTTCTCCAAAGTAGCTTCCACTTCCTTCAACTTTAAACCCATTTTTTCCTCATTTCCCTCGTTAACAATCTCATTAATCTCCTTTTCAATCGATATCACAATCAATCCAGCCAAATCACCATCCAAGATGCCAGATTTCCCCTTTGTTAAGCTCTCTGTAAATGCCCTCAAAGCTTCAATAGCACAAACCCCAACAAGCAATGGGCTTTTCCCGCTATTTTTAGCCATAACTTCACTGATTCTCTTACAATTCTCATCAACCCCATCTTCTTGCCCGGGAAACAGTAAATTGTAACCGACCCGACCAGAAACTGAATCCGTTAAGTTACACAGAAATATAGGCGGGCAATGGGCACGGGAAAACCGAGAAGAAACTTGGGTTACCGGCGGCCGAACTAATGCTAACTTTATGTCACAGCTACGAAACCCGGCTTCCCCAAAAACCCGACTAACAATCGGATCATCGAGAATAGATAAAATTAAGTATTTAAGCTCAACCTTCAAAATTGCCTGCGCTTGGGAGCAACCGGTGGCGATAGCGTTACTGTTATTGCTACTGTGTAACTGTTGTAAATGGTAACTTTCTGGATGACGCCGTTGACTGGCTTGCGACCGTTTGATTGCCGCCATCAGTGAGTTGGAGATCGGAGGGTCCTCGTCGGACTTCGATGAAGGTAAACGGTCGAGTGAAACTCCGACAGAAAGCTCCAACGCGCGGAATTGAAGTCGAGACGGGTACGCGCTGCTACGTGCTCGCGTACATGCCTCTCGGAGAGTGGATGACGGTAAGGAAAGCAACGCCGACACAGCGTGGAGCGATGTCGTTTGTGCATGGCTTCTTCTACGCGCTACGGCCACAGCCTCATCTAAAGCACTTGCCGTTTCTTCTGTTAAGAATTGCCGAGCTGCGGTTACCGACGTCGGCATCGCCGGCCAGCACAAAAAAAATCTACACAAGAAACAAATATTGATTTTAAAAACCCCTTACCCAGACCCCATACCGAATGCAAAGACTATGAAAACCCATTAAATTTACTAGTGAAAAAACTAGACATAAACCTACCAACCACTGCCTTGCCAAGATGAAAGTAAATGAAAACGAACTAAAATAAAAATAAACCCAGATGTTAATTTCCTACATAAAGAATGCAATATTCAAAAGCTTTAAAAAACGATACCTTTATTGATGGGGGTTCAAAGGGTCCTGACACGCCCAGCTAATAAAACCATAAATAAACAAGGCATGGGTAAGTGGTAGAAACACAGAACAAAGTCTCTTTATAATATCAGAAATGGACTCCTTTCCAAAAAACCTAAGAGAATTTTCTCCGAATCAAAAGGAAGGAAATAGTATAGAGAGGGTGGAGACTTTAGGTTTAAATTCAAGAGATGTTTTACTGACAGGCAGAGGAAAAGGGGAGAGACGCTGCTGGAAACTGCAACGGCGATAGCAAAATAGATCAGAAAAGGAACGATTCCGGATTTTAGCAGGAGACAGAAGGAAAAAGGAGATGAGAGAGGGTAAAGAGGAAGGAAGGGGCGAGTTAACCTACTAGTTTTAAACTAAAAAAAACATTTAATTTTACATAAAGGCAACAAAAAACTCTTGTTGGTCCATAAGTCTGATTCGTAATTAATCCAATAGTTTTTCTTTTTCAGTGAGTGTTTACTTCAAAAACTTTTTGAAATAATTTATGGAGGAAGCGCGGAACTTGGAAGGAAGGGGAGACGGAGAGAAACAGAACCAGTTTTGGTTTGTTGGTTTAGTGTCAATGGGGTCATGTCAGCAGAAAAGGAACAAACAGATGGTGCGCATAGATTCTCCGTCACTCAAAAAGAAATATATTCTCACCATTTCCTTTCTCTATTACTATTATTTCATCTCATTGCTTGCTTTGTTAGTAAAAATCCATCTAATAATTTGCCTGTAAAAATAAATAATCTCGGACCAATTTTTTTTTTTTTTTTGTATTTATCAGATTTTAAAGATTAAAAAACTGTAAATGCAATTAATTATTTAACAAAGTAATAAATTAGGCGCTTTTACCCAAAAATACTCAAACAACGAAATATTATCTGTCAGACACTCTTTCTCTAAATATTATCGATCTAGAACTCTATTTAACAAATAGCAGATCATGAAGCGCACCTTTGAGAAATAAGGTAGATGGGGATGTTATTTATGGTATGGCAGATGATGATTGTCATTCCTTTTGCAAAGAATAACTTATAGGTATCTCGTTTAATTTTAACGGTGATTGAATACAATTATCATGGTTGGCTATAAATTTTCAACAGTTGAACGAAGACTATGCTGAGGAACAAACTAAAATATTTGTCCGAGCTTACATATTACAACTCATATGAGGGATATTGATATTCAAAAAATCTTGTAACCAAATTTATTATATATGATTGCGTCACCTCACAGATTTTTAAGTTGTCAGCTCATTTAGATGGGGTTCTTCGATTTTAACATCTCTGTATAGAGAAATGTGTAAAGCAACTGATTATCGAAAAAAATATTATCGCCCGATGTCTTCTCCTTCTGCAGTCCTGGGTGTGGTATTGCAAAATATACCTAATTAAATAATAATTGATTTTCGGACAAATGTTATCGACAAATGTCTCCTATATTTGCAAAAAAAAATAGCCGAAATACACTTAACTAAATAAATATTATACGAACTAAAATATAAATTAATGATAAAAAATAATTAAATAACACAATTTAATATTATTATCGTAATCGACAAAATGTCTCGAGATATGATCTCGTATTCTGTTTTTCAATCGCAAAAAATAAAAAAAAATTAATACAATAAAATTTGATCAAATAATTTAATATAAAAAATAATATAATAAAAAATTAATTTTACATTCTAAAAACTATTATTAATCTACTTAGTTTTATATAATGAATTGATAGAAGGAATTGATAGAAATAATAATGAGAAAGTAATTTTGGTGATTATTAATGTTGATATTTGGGGTATTTACAAGGGAGGGATGGATGAATAGCCAAAATTTAAGCATCGGGTAATAATAGAAGAAGCGTTTCATGATACGCGCATTTCTTTTGTGTGTCAGATTTTTCAGCGAAGACACGTTTCATGATCTGTATCTTTCTACCGTGACACCAGCTCGAACAGAATCTCCGAAGACGATCTTCATAATCCGCGTTTTATAATAAATATGCAAATTTGATAATATTAGAAAAAATGACGCCTCACATGTAAATTTCGTTGTTAGGATAAAAAATTTTGGTAAAAACATCAATAAACTATTAATATAGGTTGGGTTTAGTTGATAAGAAGCAGATGGGACAAATAAAAGAGCAGTGGAGTCGCTGTCGAGATAGCTTTCAGCCTCGAAACAACGTTTTCTATTTTTTTAAGGGCAAAGAAGATTGAAGCAAATTAATAATTAATAAGTGGGAAAAAAAAGTAGAAGTAAAAGAAAAGTTCATTCGTAGATTTTTCATGTATTACGATAAATACACAAAGGTTCAGAGGGTCCTCTTAATCAATATGTGTAGGTATTAATTCAGAATTATTTTTATTTTGAAAAAATATGTTATTCTTTATTGTATTTAAAAATAAAATAAATTGAAAAAAGATTACGAATGAACCAATTCAATACAATTCAATTCAGAAATGTCCACCACATGAGCGTCGCAGTCATGTAAAGGGAAAGATCCAACATTTATTACTACGCAATTACATTACTTTTTGCACGAGGCCACCTTTCCTTATTTTGTAATTCTCTCCTCTAAACTATCGCTTTTAATCCGTTTTAGGTAATATTAAATACTTTTTTCACTTATTTTAATTTCATATATTTCATTTATGATCTAAAATTTTATACTTTTATGGTTGGGTTTAAAAGTAAAGATTAAAACTATAATAATTGTTTATAATCATAAATGTAATATATTTTTATAATTATTGATATAATAAATTGATCACTTGATATCATAAAATAAATTTTAAATTCAATGAGAAAAATATTGAGTGCTAATTTATTCATATATCACCATAAAAAAAATTAAAATGATACTGTATTTAGTGTCATTTATTTATCAAATAATAAATTTGTTAATGTCATGTATGGGAAGTATGTTATGTCAATCGTATTTTTTATGCGTCCAAGAGAAATATATATATATATATATATATATATATATATATATATATATGAAGTTTGTTAAAAATATACATAATATATTTGATAGACGAGCATAAATTTAGTCGGATGATATGATAACAATAATAGTAAAAACTTAATAGAATGATATTCATAATTAATCAATGTGTTTTCTTTGGTGTAAAAAACATTTTATATTTAACGTTTATCAATTATGATGTCATTAAATTCAATTATGAGAAAATATAAATAAAATAATCACCAAATGACTTGAGAAAAAAATTAAAAATATATCACAAAAATATAGATAAATGTGTCATAAAGGTAAAGATAAATATACTATAAAAATATAATTATTTTTATTAAAATTAAAAAAAAAACAAAAAAAAATAGTAAACAATATCAAAACTGATGTCGTCGGTAATTTTTTTAAAAAGATAATTTAATATATAAAAAATGACAAAAATTCGAAGGAAAAAATGACGAGAGGTAGGGAAGAGCATCTATGAAATACATATTTTAATAATCATACTTGTTTTACATGCCACGTACCTGAAAACACATATAATTATCTATATTCTTTTATATTTAATTCAAAAGATGTCATCTCAATATAATCAACTACGGTTATTACACAAATCAAATTATTTCATTAAATGATTATTATTATTTTTAGAAGTATTAAATTTGAACATATTGAATATTAAACGTGATTAAACATTCATTATAAAATAAATTAAGAATCTTTTAAATCAATAATATCTTATATTCACCTTTATACTAATAAAAAATCAACCATGAGTACTACTTTAGTATTTAATTTTGACTTAATATAAAATTAAGTGTATGAACTATGCCTCAAAAATATTTTAGTACCTAAATAATTTTCGCTAAAAATAGACATCTAATGTTTCAAACGTTATATTTTTAGGTGCCTATAAATTATCGTCGACATGTGTCACGTCTAGTAATTTTGAATTTTTTTTAAAAAAATTAAGAAATAAAAATATTTTTGTAAAAAAAAAAAGCACGAATAACAGCAATCTCCCACCCCCACCCCCGTGTTCCCTCCCCTCTTCGTCTTCTCCCTTCTCCTTTCCCCCTTCCATAGCTGTTGGTCAGCCAGAGGTTACCGTCACTGCTATCGTCATCAACACTAACATTGATCCCTATCAAACCCCGTTGACCTTTCGTCATGGTATGCCACTGTTTGCTGTGAAGATACGTTCAAAGGTTCGTCAAATATCGTCGACGTTCATAAGCCACACCGTCGCCACCATTCAATCTACTATGAACTTTTGATCAAACCCCAACTGTTCGACGAAACGATGATGGTCGGTGACCGTTTGGTTTGGGAAATTAAAATTGGGAAATAGGGATTTGGATTTTTGGGAGTTTAGATTTAGGAGTTTTGGATGATGGTAAGGACGACGATTGATTAATGGGTGTGTGGCGACGGGTGGATAACCATTCGACGATGACGATGGTGGCCGAAGACGGTCGGTGACTGTTGGTAATGGAAGTTAAAATGAGATATTTTATTTTTTTAGGTTTTTTTTTTACAATCTTAGTAAAAAAATTTGGGGTTTTTATAAATATTTTTATTTTTAATTAAATGTATTTTTATTATTAAAAAATAAAAAAAGAGTATACACCTAAAAATATAACTAAAAAACATTTGATACATATTTTTAACAACAAAATTATTTAAATATTAAAATATTTTTCGAAACATAATTTAAACACTTATTTTTATATTAAAAAAACTATAATTTTTTAACAAATGCATACTTAGATATTTTAGGTTTGAAAAGTCCTGACATTAAGTGATCCATTCCTGGCCACTCACGTAATATCTGTATTCCGTATCCACACATCTGGAGATCAATGTGTTTTTCTTTTTTTTTCATTATTTTATTTGGTGCGAGTAGTTTAATCTTTAAAACTAAAAAAAAAACCCCTTAATTATTAAAGATAGTAAAAAGTACTCTGTCGGTTTATATTTTTTGAAACACTTGATCTATTAATATCAATTTATGCTTGTATATATTTGTATTTTCTTGACATATCACGTCTTACATAACGTGTCTTTATCTTATGTAATACAAAATAACATCAATTCAAACAAATAATTTAAAATTTAAATTATTTTCAATACTATTGCTCGACAATAATAATAATGATATGATATTAATAATAATAATAATTGTTTAGAAGTATGGAGTGTAGCGTCATTATCTTTTATTTCTTAGGTAGTGTAATATTCACATTTTGTTTTGAAATTTTTGCTTTTCTTTTTAATTTAATCATTGTATATAAATATACAAACAAAGATGTTATATTTTATATATCTATTTATTTAACTTTTATATAACATTTTTCTATGGTGGCTGTTTTGTAATTTATTATAAGGTGTAATTATCGAAATTTTCATCTGTTATTGTAATATTCATCGTATTTTTTCTAAATAATTTTTAATAAGTTTCATTTCTC